GTCTCATTTCTGGACTCAATAATTTTGCCGATATTTCAGTTAAAATACACAAGTAAAAATATTTATCCAAGTATAATACTGCCCCCCAACTTTATGGATGATTTTATGGATTTAATTTTACGTATTATACTTGAATAAATATGGTATGCATATTCAGTTTCAATCTGAACAATTCAAATTCAGTTCCTGCTGGCACAAGATTGATCCCATAACATTCCTGAAGGAATGATTCTTTGATTTAAACAGAAAGTATTAAAATAACAGCAAACCTCCTTATTAAAAACAGTACAGCTGTAATTCTTGAACCTGAACACGTCAAAGACAAGTAAAGCTAAGTTTTATGTTTATGTGTGTCACCTTACGTTCATGTCAGTGGGCGTGACCAAGCAGCGGCTGGAGGGACGAGGTTTGATTGTGGCAATCTTGGTATCTATGGGCGAGGCCTTCTGGGCGTGCGTCATCTCCTCAACTTTATCTGCAGAAACAAACGTGAGCGTGACCCAGCAGCACCACGAGCAGAGCTGGACTCAGTAATGACCTGACGAGTCAAACACAAGCCAACCAATCACAGCAACCCTCCCTCCTGCCTCGCATTAAGACTGCAGATGAAAGTAGAGCAGAAAACACTGAAATAAAGAACTCTTCTGGGAGCTGAGGGGTGGGATGAGGACTTTGATGGAACAATGAGTCCAGCCTTGGAAGCCGTGCAAGCTTTGCTCCAAACAGCCGGCTCAGAAGCATCWCCCTGCTCCCTCAGGAAATGAGCGATGGACGGTCTGTCAAGTTTGCCGTTACACTTTTTCACTTTCAGCTGGCAGCACAGGAAAGGTGTCAACGACAAATTTGGCAGACGTGAACTTTCCGTTGGTGTGATAACATCATTCGATTCCTCCTAACAGGTTTTACTGAGGGGAGCATACAGCCACAGGTAAAAGTAAGAACATCCTGGGTTTTACTTTAGAGATCTGGGAAAAACAAAAAGCATCCTCTTGACCAGGTCCTCATTGTAAATGAGACCTGGTCCTCATTATAAATGAGACCTGGTCCTCATTGTAAATGAGACCTGGTCTCATTTACAATGAGGACCTGGTCCTCATTATAAATGAGACCTGGTCCTCATTATAAATGAGACCTGGTTCTCGTAAATGAGACCAGGTCCTCATTGTAAATGAGACCTGGTTCTCAGCAGACTTACCTGTTCACTAAAAGAGTTTTATCTAATCCTCACCAGGTCTTAACATGAGATAGGTCACATGACTTATTACACCATTTAACACAATCTGAACCAAAATTCAGGACCAGTGAGCCAGAAAGTCCAGCCTTGCTGTTCTTGAGGATCTCAGTTTCTGCCTCCAGAACAACAGGAGTTTGATCAGTTTGCTGCTCTGGAGCCACAGGTGTGTGCTAACACAACATGACCAGCTTATCCATGCTACTCACCAGCTTARCGCGACTAGCATGSATAAYCCTCTCCAATGCTAACGCCAGGTTATCCATGCTGGTCAGCAACTTATTCATGCTGGTTGCTAGCCTCTCTGATGCTAACACACAACATTCGTCTCCTTCTCATTTGCCGGCCTATCATTAATCACATCAATAGCTAGCTTAGGAATAGATATYGCCTCCTGCTACAAGGATGRAGCAGCCGCTGGTTGTATTAGTCTTAACTTCAGCCCTCACAGTACCGTGTGGACCTTCAGAGCTGAGCAGAAACCAACGATGGAAAGAAGAGTTCTACCACAGAAAACCTCTGAACGTTCTGCTGCAGGAGGTTCTACAAGCTGCTGGTTTCTGTGTTTTGGTTCAGGTTTTGTTAAATAATAAATGACCTGAWGTTTTGTGTGAATCGTACTCATCTCATTGTGAAACTTTGTAGCAACCAGATGATTTAAAATGTTTCTAACTGAGAACTTGTTTTAGGAGAAAGAGGGTGAACCTCTTTGTGACTGTGGCTGTCCATGCTCTGACCTGTCCCCTCTGCCTGGCTACCTGTGTGGGATGGAGAAAGCTTCATGCATTAAGGGAGTGATTACTTAGAGTGACTTGGAAAACAATCCTCTTCTTCTGCGCATCTACACACAGAGGACAGGAAAAGACCATCAATCACTTCAACAGCAGCTAAACATCGACAACAAACAGTTTACAGTATGAACAACATGCAGCCGGCTGCTCTGGAAACCAAACTGTGAGTGAAGACTTACATTTATAGAAACAATAATACAGGAAATCAACATGAACAACATGACAGCACTGAGTAACAGGAACAGCTCCAACAGTGAAACCTGGTCTCACAGGAACGTTTGCCTGGACTGTGAGCAGAAACACGTCTGTGCTGTGTTACTGCTCTGAGGGCAGGATGGACCAGCAGCAGGTGACACTGGTGTGTTTCTAAAGTGTTCAGACCCTGAAAGAGGTGCACACAGAAACCAGAGCGCTGCTGCTCTCTCCTAAAATAAAAAGTGCAATAAAGCCTTTAAAAGCTGAAGTTAATTCCTGTTGGAATGAAGCGTATAAGTGTTACAATAACGAAAAAATAAAATCGTGCAAATTCACAACGCATGCTTTAACTGACAGCTGGACACTAGAATAAATGAATAAAGCTAGTTTTAATGCATCACAGTGAGGCGAAGAAGGAAACAAAGATCAAAAAACTAAACCAGACTAAAGCATGCCTGCTGACACTTACCACCTTTCTTTTTCCTCAGTGTGGCTTTAGAGGTGACAGGAAACAGAAAATCTGAGTCTTAAGAGCAGATAAACAAAGAAACAAAGAGCTGTTTATCAGTTCCTACTGTAGCCTCCTTTAACGTGGTGCCGTTTGTAAAGTTACACAGCCTAAAATAACCACCAAAAATTCTGTTTTATTTAGCCTTTTATAAGAAAAAAAGAACAGATTTATTTTTTAAATTCAGTTTTTCACCATATGATTCATACATTTATAAATGTCATAGTTTATAAACTA